CTTTGTATCTACATCTTTTGTTCATCACATTAATATAAGCATTATATGTGAAAACTGACTCATTTTACAAGGATCCAATTTTCCATACAATTATAACGGGATATAATAATTGTATGATAAATTGGGTCTCGTAAAATAAGTTAATTTTCGTATATGATGTAGTTTATAATGTGAAAAAATGTGTAAAACTTGTGCTCACAGTGCACCTGATACACTATAGCTCAAAAATTATGTATGTGAAAACTAACTCATTCATTGGGACCTCAATTTTCCGTATAATTAATAGGATTCTTTGAACCAATTCCTTGAATTAGATAATATTTTGTTATCTTTACTTTTCATGTCAAAATGTATTATTTTTAAATAAACAACATGTAGTTAAAAAACAACAGTATCTAATCAATCTATTTCTCTATGTGAACTGCTTAGTTTCAAAATAAATATTGTTTATTTTAACATATGCACTTACAATTAATAAATATAAATAAATTAGATTTGAATCAAACTTAATTTTCTTGAGTTAAATTGTTTAACTTCATTTTAATTCAATTAATGACATATTGAATGAGAAAGCGACCTACAAGAATCATTAAAAATGATTCAAATTGGATACCACTTGACATTACAAATTTAACAATCGGGGATATTCTGGGAAAATGTGAATAGTTCATCAAACGGATAATCCTACAGAACGAGCATATGTATAGTATTATGGTAAAGTCGATTTCATCGCACGAATGCGTAATGAAATATCAGAGTGACAATATACAATAAAATGTGTTATCAAGTTTTGCAGAAAAAAATTCAGTAGTGTGATCAGGTAATGAATTAAACAAAATTTTTTAATTAAAATATAAAAAATATAAAGATTCTTGAAACGTCCATATTTTTTAAAATCTCTCTTAGATATTTTAAATTATTTAGTATCCTATTGATAGTTGAATGTTTTACTGAAAACGGTGCTTTAAGGGATATTCTCTAGGAAAGTGAATAATCCATGAAACACAGATATTCACTGATTCTCGTGGAGAACAAGCGTTCAAATGGATGTTACGGCAAAGTTGAACTCGTCGCATGGACGTTCCCGGCTAATAACAGTCGGTCGCCACAAACGCGCATGCGAAGCAACGAGATAAGACTTTGGGCTAAAACCGTGTCGTGACGGGATGTCTGTGCTATTCCATCCTCGATGCCGGCTACATAAGATGCCGCGCGGCACTCGCACGCTCGTCAACGGAACTCGCGTGCACGAGTGCGCGACGTGTGAATGCAATCCGACGCGTGCACGCCTCCTTCCCGGGATGTCATGTTTTCCAAACAAGAAACGTACGAATTCGCGACAACAAAAAGTTTAAAGATCGGAGCACAGATCTTTGCATAACGCAAAATGTACAAAGCGTAAGAGAATCAACTAATCGGAGTCCTTTATTTCATAGAAATGAGAGACTTTGATTCATTTTCCTAATGCAATGTGCATTAAGTTAGTTCTATATTAGTTGCAAGTTAATCGCAAGCTTGCTGTGACAATCTAAAGCATTAAAATTGACGCTTCATTTGGCTAGAAACCCTATAACAGAATCTAGCTGCAAGCAATTTTGCCAAACAAGAGTAAGAAAGAAGGATATATGTATCGTCTCTTTTTATATATGTGCTATCTTATTCCAACTTTTACTGTCTTACTTATTCCAACTGACTGAAGTTGACAAAAACGGTGAGCCAATCAAAAATTTGTCATCTCGAACAGATACTCTGTTATAGGGTCTCTGTGGTCGGAATTCATTCGTTCTTATTTTAAGATCGTCTTAAGTTTTGAGATGTCATGAACCAATCAGAGGGCCGCATTAGCGTCTTAAGACATTACTTAAGACGATTTTAAAATAAGAACCGACTATGAATACCGGAGTCTGACTGGTTCGTAACACTTTAAGATTTTACTCAAGATAGTTTTAAATATAAGATTCGACTATAAACACTGGCTATGTTTGGCTGTCGCAACAAGTATGAGATTGACTTGCGACTAATGTACAGAACCAGCTTTGTGTAAACGTCTGTACTTTAGCCTTAAGTTTCACGCAGTAAATGGAGAGCGTCTCGAGTGCCGCGAAGACGCAGCGATGAGGTACACACTGTGTACCTGGCTTGGAAAAGCAAAATAATAAGCTGTCGTCGCCTTTATGATTGCCACGAAATCGAAAAGAATTGTGCAGCAAGAACATCGCACAAAGTCCCCGGAAAATCTCTACAGAATCTCTACGCGTAAAGTAAATCTTATTATATATTTATTTATACTATTATGCTATTAAGATCACATCAGGTACCTAACGAACCGAATCACCATAAGTGACGAGCGGTGGCTAATTTAGTTCCCCGAACTGCGCGCATGCATGTGACTTCTCGTCTTTCTTTTTATTTTACCCGCGCTCGGAAGTCGGAGCACGCGTCCGACGGAACCAGCTGCTTATCCCAGGATCTCGGGTGCACCCTCCTAAGATCGGCTAATGCGATTTTGGTGGCGCAGCGCGAGAAAGGGAGGGCATGGAGAGGCAGTTCCCGAAATTGCGACAGAACCAACGGGCGAGTTATGTTCGCCCGCGACGATTTTAAGACGATAAGACATTAAGGAGACACCGATGAAGCCACGTAATTGATGAGTTTGTGGCGTGACGACGCCGCAATGGCGGACGCGCCGAGATTAAATCCATGTAACGCGGAGAGACATTTGATGTAACTCGTAAATAGCAAAGAATCAACAATTTTACAGTTCTAGAGTGATTAATTAATATCGAGTCTCAAATTTTCCATCCTTCGAATAATGTTAACTTAATTATTCCTCTTTTCTGCAATTATCACGAAAGCCAGCGACTTCTGAGGACAAATGTTGTCAAAGACGTCATTTTGACGTCAAAATGACGACAAGTGACATCAGCTTGCTTCCTACACTACGTTAGGTAAAAGACGTTATCGCACGTTCCATCAAGCGATCTGAAAACTGAAAACTTGACGATTGATGAATTGCTGGTAATTGACGTGGCTCGAGAGGTCATTCGAAAGCGGGTGAGGCCGATGCACATGTTGCACGTCCGCCGTTCGCGAAATGCAGATCGGCGGTGATTTACTTATCAACAATCGACGCTCCGCCGGAGGTAAATGGTCGAGTCGTGACCATTAGTTCGTGAATCACGGTACGTATGGGCCCCGGCCCCGTACCTACGAAGCGACAACGCGCGCGAATCGACACCGTGTGAGGCCCGACTGGGATCCCGACACGACATCAGGCCCTCCGCTACGGCCCTGCAGAACGACGGCGACGCGAATGGCCGTCGATGAATTACAAGAATGATTTTACCAGAGTTTATCCATTGAACTCCTATACGACGAATTAAATAAGTTACTTCCACTGTGGCTCTACTTTTATAAATATAAGCTACCCGGAAAAAACTGTTTGGTTGAATTAATTGGAATTCTGGTGGAAACTGAACGATCCAGAATTTTAGTTAGATTTCTGATTAAATCTATTAAAATTCTAGTTGAAATAACCAACATTCAGTAGATCCAGAAATCTAATAGACTTAACCAGAAATCTGGATCGTTCATTTTCCACCAGAATTCCAGTTAGTTCAATCAAACATTTTTTTTTCCGTGTAGAGTTTCGGGATTTAGCTAATCATCTATTTTATTTCCGAAAGAAGTTGCGTGTACAAATCCCAAAATCACCAGATGTCCTTTTAAGAGCAGATATTTTTTTTAATATTCTAAGACGAATAATTCTAACACGGAAATGTCGAAACTACAATAGATTTTAAATTATTAGCTAATAAAGTTCACGAATCATAGAGCTGATATTTCACACGCTCAAACGTTGTGTTGTGACAAGTAGGAAAAGTGATATGACGAATCCATTTATCAACGTCGAGATTTTTATACGATATTAAAAAAAATGTTTCAAAATTTTTTCCGCTGCTGTTGCAAGTATACGATTTATAAATTGAATTAGTATCTTAATCGTACTGCAAATGTAGGTGACTTGGGACAGTGTAGGTAACTTGGGACAGCATGTATTTTTGTTAAATTCAATCTTGGATTCCATCCATGAGTCCCTAAAGGAAACGTAAAACTTAAACTTCCTTTAGAAACTCATGGATGGATTCCATGATTGAATTTAACGAAAATACATGATGTCCCATGTCACCCACGTTTGTGATACTCCTTGCAAGAAGGTTTTTACGGAAAATCCGAAAATTCCCAGGAGATTCCAAAGTTTCGAGAATGTACCGAGAATTACGTATTTCTCAGAGCGAAACAGCCTCGACGAAGAGCTCGCTCAAAAATTGCGCTCCACATTATCCTCCGTAATGCGGCTCTGTCAGTGCAATTTGTAGGTAGTTGCGAGCATTCGTAACGACCGAAATCACAGGTGCACGCTCGCGGAGAAACGGCAGTTACGTAACAGGCGACGCGACTCTTTTTCAGCGCGGCTCTTCAAATCGGCCCTGGAAATCGGTAGAAATTACTTCGCGCTTGACTTGCTCGCGTGAGCGGTGCCGGCTATTCTCGGCGACTTCGTAACAAGCCGCGGCCTCGTCCCATCGAAAATAGGACGAAATCGCTCAGCAGTCGCGGACATCAATAAGATCGTCCACGTTGGAGAAATCAAGATTCTCTCCACAAGTGTCGAGCCTCTCTTACGCGAAGGTATTCAGCGATCCTTAAGTTAAGAGGTCTTCTTCGAGCCTGGAGTGCAATTGCGAGCACGTTAAATAGCAACTTCGTATCTTCTTCTAGTATTTGAATCACTGATTCACACGTCTCTTTTTGCGTCGCATTTTTATTTTACTATCAAACGCCGCTTTGCGCCAATCTCGCCCACAACTAACATCGGCATTTTTTAAAATTTTCTTCCTTTTTCGACGTCATAGATAAAAGAACTATAATCACGCTAAAGTAGGCTTACTTCGTCTAGAATGTCTAGATTGTTAATGCAAATCCAAGTGTTCGCTCACCGATAGTAGTCCTTCTTGCAGTAGATATTGCCGTCTCTGCTGAAGCAGGTGACCTCCCCGTCGAGACCCTGACGACAGTGCGAGCACTGGAGGCACGCAGCGTGCCACCTCTTGTCGACTGCTTGGAGGTAGAACCTATCTGATATTTTGAGACCGCATCCCGCGCAAACCACATTCCCCGGAACGTCTTCGCATTGCGAGGGCGGCGTAGGCGGCGGTTCCAGCTTCGGGATGGCGTGCAAGTGGTCCGTCGTGGTTTGTTGTTCCTGGGAGTGCGCCTGCGGATGCAGATGGGGATGATGGTGGTGATGATGGTGGTGATGATGATGGTGATGCGCTGTCTGCGATGGCATGCTTAGATCATTGGCGTTCTCGAAGTTTCCACCACTGCCCCTGTATTCTTGCCCGCCTGCTGAGAAATACAGTAAAAGCCCTCTTCAATAATTCACGCTTCCATTCGTTAACGTTATCCCAGATAGCACATTATATTCTGAGAATATTCTGAGAATATACTAAAAAGATCACGTCTGATATTCGTATGATATTCCTATGTCCGCGGGAACATTGTTCGCAGTACATCCTCAGAATATCGAGATGAATTTCGAAAATTTTTCTTAAGAGTGTGTAAGAAATATCTATTAAAAATAATATTCTGTTAACGAAGAACATTATTTTTAATAGATATTTCTTACATACTCTTAAGAAAAATTTTCGAAATTCGCCTCGATATTCTGAGGATATACTGCGAACAATGTTGCTGCGGACATAGGAATATCGTACGAATATCAGACGTGACCTTTTTAGTATATTCTCAGAATATAATGTGCTATCTGGGATTAACACCTTATATTACAAAGCACTTCATAAACTAACTGATTCTGATATCTCTACCGCGCGATTCAAAAGATTCAAAAGATTACTCTAAAGATTAAGTTGAAAGTTTCAAAGGATAACGTATTTCAAAATATGGATAATTGTATCAATCAATTCTCGAGCCCAACCATCTTAATGGATTCTGACATCCTTCGCCTGACTCTTCGATAGATGTAAGATAATCGTACCTCCGGGTGAATCGTAATCCCTCGACTCATAAGGGGTGGTCGAGCCGTCGTAACAGTTGTTGTTGGTGCCACAGTGGGTCTGATGCAGGGGCGTATGATGGGACCCGTGGTGATGGGCAGCAGGAGGACTGCACGGTAGAGTGGTAGGTCGTGCAGCATCGCCCATCGACGCGGGAAGGCAAGGACTCAGATCCCTCGCCTGGTCCACCGCACCGGGCCCCACCGTGCTACCGGGTCCCCCCTGGCGCCCCACAGCCAAGCCGCTGCCACGCTCCTGCGAGCTGGGCGGCTGCTGGAACAAATCGATGTATCGACACTTTAGTTAGCGCATCGAATCGACGGTGTCCCTGTGTGTGTTTTGTCATGCAAAAGGTGAAGCCGTAATATGAGTATGAGACGTTATATTCGGAGAAAAACCCGTATTAATTGTGACTTGTCATTTTTCTTGAAATTGAGAACCAATAAAAAGTCCCTCTCACATGTAGTATCCCTTATCGGGAATTTATAAATAAAAATAGCATTATTCTTATTATTACTTATTAAGTATTTTATGACTTTGAGCGAGTGAGATGTATAATTCAGAAAATGGCTATTAAAGGAAATTATAATTAATAGAAAATCGTAAGATAAAAAATTATCAGTAATATAAAACGATTGAGACAAAAACAGAAAATGTCAAAATACACGAATGAACGTAGAAATGAAAAGAAAAATAACAGATGGCATGAAATGCAAGTAAGAACAAAAAAGAAGAGGACGTATAGGAATTTAACGGAAGAATTAAGACATCATAAAAATAAGGCAATTAACGGAGTAAAAATATTAAGACAGTTAGAAAGACTGAAAGACGAAAAGGATCAACGAATTAAAGGGACCAACAAGACCAAAGAAGAAGAGGAAGCCGAGTAAGGTAAAAGGATATAAAGGACAAAGCGAGGACACGGCGAGGACAAGCAGGACCGATCGGACCGAACTCGCGAATGGAATGGAGGTGAAGTGACGACGGGTTGCAGCCGCCGCTGTCACCAGAGGGAAGAAATGCGCGGAGAGAAAGAGTAGCACACCAGCGATGGTAGTCGGTCGTCTGATGGATGTCGCAAGACACATAGCGCGCCCGCGCGCATGTGCGAGGCCCTATAAGGCACGAAGGCGGCCAATCCGATGGCAGCCACTGTGTATTTCAAGTGTTCGCAACATGCCCGCCGCTGATTGCGTAGATATAAATTGCAAACTCTCTCTCTCTCTCTTCCTTCTCTTTGTAAATATTGGATTATAACTCTGATTTTGCCACTCTTTGGCTATTATTGCTCTTGCGGATATTACAATTGAGACGAATTTTTGGCTATATACAAAAAATTTTGAATGCTGCCTTAAATTTGTATTAGTCAGACGACAAGAACACATTACTGTGTATTTTGACAAATTCTTTAAGATTCTCGGCAATAATATTTATGGGTATATAGCTTGAGTTTTTCTATTGTGCACTCTAAAAAGACGGTTTGCAAAGGATTTGAATTAGTGTGTCCGGTGAATACACCTAATATTCGAATAAATAAATAAAAAATGAATGAAAATACTCGTTTGAATACACTTATTTTTTATTCGTCAAGAAACGAATAAATACTTTTTCATTCCATTTGAATATTTTTTTAATATGATTACGAATATTTTCGTTTCGTATTCACTTTTACTCTGTATTATCCGTACAAAGCTTGCAAGCCTGCAAGAAAAAAACAAATCAATGGCTACGATTACACCGTGTGCTTAGTTCGCGATCTATACGATCCTACACGAAATGCATCCTTGTTTAACGTATAGGTTAAACAAAGAGACATTTTTATTGGAAATAAATAATATATCTCGGAATTTAATGGCCATAGACCATAATGAAGGACCTGTCCAAGATATCTTATAAAATGTTTATAACATTACTGTGATATAACCAGAATTATATTGGAATATGTATGGCGCTCTATCAAATAGATATTTATAAATAAAAAATGTATTTGCTTTCTAAAATATTTTTCAAAATTTCTAAGTTTCCTTCATAAAATCTGAATATTACAATGACAAAAATAAATAAAATTAATTTTTTTTACTTAAAGTCATCACAGTACCGGTTATAGTTAAGGGGTAACAATTGCTTATTAGAGCTTTCTTTTTCAGTTTATATTTTGCTTGAATGAATATAAATACTCGTTAAATATTTATAATTTTTTTGTGAATAAATATTTTTTTTAATTCAAAATTTTGAATGAATATATGATTACATTTTTTTCATGTGAAAATTTTGAATAAATATAATTTGAAACTCAATTACAAATTTTTGTATTCATCGGGTACACTAATTTGAATATAGAACATCATGGGACCAAAGTGCACAACTGTTATCATTGTCTCCAATCGAATGTTTCAAGTGATTTTTTAAATGTCATGCATTGGCCCTGGAATTATTCTAAGGTATTCAAATTTCTACCCTATTATATATATATATTTATATATGTATATATATATATAATGTATTATAATATACTATATACATATATATATGTACATTGTGTGAGTATATGCATACATAATGTATTTACTTCTCTTAATACGTTCAACAGCGACAATTAGCGCCAACCGCTTGCATAACGCTAACAGTTAATTCTAAGACGGGAAGTCCCACAACATAAATATCCCAAAACTATCCTTAGCATCAGCTTCGGACAAATCGTAAAAATGTTTTTTTATGATTTGTGAAATTTCTAATGATTCTTGAACACGAACAAGTTTTCCTCAATAATCTTACATACCTTTCTAGTCAAGAAGTTTCATACGATTTAAAAATTTTCCAATAATCTTCCTTATCATTGTAGATCGAATAGAATCGAATAATAAAATTTTCTATCCCGCGGAGACTAATTTTTCAAAGATCTTTTTATTTTTAGATTGAGTAGGGTCAGTTCTGATCTTACAGAGATTTAATTAATAAATATTAAAGGCACTCTGTGCAGTATAACGGGAAGCAAAAGTTCACGTAGGGCGATTGTATCGCGTTAACCACCGCGCGAGACGTGATCAGAATCGCTAATTCCGACGCGGCTTTATTTAACCGTTGACTTTATTTCAGCAAGCTTTCGCAGCGCGACGTAATCTTTACGTGCACGCTGTTGATCCTTACGTAATGCGGATCGGCTCGGCGAAGGCATTGGAGGAATGCGCGTTCCTCCGAGTGTCTCCCGCATTGTCCTATCCCATAATGAACCGCCGTCGTGTGCGGTAACAGGCTCATTAAGCCGCGCCACGAATTATTTGCAAATCGATATCGCTCGTAATTTTGCGGAAATACCGATTCAGTCCGTCCCGCACGGAAACAAATTCAATTGCGGGCGTGACTCATCCTCAATTTTCACGATGCTACCGTGTGACGGAAAAGACAACAAAAATAGAAAAAAGATAACGAAACTGCGTCATCTTCGCACGCGATGTTTGCAAACGTCACTCGTAACTGGAGGAAGTAATCCAAATAATTCACGAAGTCCAAAATCAGGACACGAGATATTTTTCGGGTCCGTTTTCATAATATGTGGTTATCTAAGAATTAAAGGTTACCAAGAAATTCATCAATGAAATTCATTCATGAATTCCGTGGTAACCTTTAATCCTTAGGTAACCATCATATATTGTGAAAATGGGGCTTAGAGATGTTTTATAAAATATCTTTTAGACGTCTTTTAGAACAATTCTCGCAAAAGTGTCTTTTAAACGTCTTTTGGATGGCTATCTTAGGGCCTCTTTCACCAACACCGATTAACGCTAATCGATGATTAACTCAATCACCACGATTACCAATGTGAGAACTAAACACAGAAGAGGAAGAGAGAGGAGACGTTATGGTACCTTAAACTGCTGTTGGCATTTCTGCGAGTTAATCGTCGATTAATTTAACCAGAAGTTGGTGAAAGAGACTCTTAACCCTTACCATACTAATATGGGTAACTAGTGACCGAGCGATTCCTGTTCGTGCAAGTTTCTTTGAGTCTTTCGGTAATTACAAATTATACTACATTTTATTTTTCAAAATAAAGAGTCAATATTTATTCTAAAAAGTTGGAAGTATGTTGGTGTGAATTTTTAGAGATTTTTTGAATTATTTTGAAGAGGTGAGAGAAAAAACGAAGAGATTTGAAGTAACCCTTGATAGTATGGATGAGGCACCAAATTGTAGATGGTATGTTAATTTGAAGAATTTTTTGTTCAAATTGTTTACTGGAGACAATTTTGAAAGATCTGAAAGATTGAATGGAAATAATGCCGATCCCGCGACTCGTCTGAGAGGTTCCGCGTCTCCCGCGACTCGGCATGGGACAATATTACGGGAAAAGGCAGGGTCGACGTGATCGGCCGATAAATTTCTCACGAGAGCCGGCGGTCGAGCGCGATCGATCCTCTCGAGATCCTTATCCATCTCGAGAGCGGTCCGGCAACGTGTTCTCGCAGACTGCAAACAGACTTTCACCCGGCGGCAGAGCTTGCACAAGAGCAAGGCGTGCGTCCACCTTCCCTCTCCTTTTCTTTTCCTCCCCCTTTTTTTAATCCTCTCCCTTTTTCTACTCGCCTCATTTTCGCGAAACCGCGGAGTAAATAATACGCGCGCGCGCGGAATCCGCGGTCACGAGATGCCGGCACGGAAACGAGTAGAATGCCGTCAGAAATGTCGCTCCGGCTGCCGGCAGAAACCGCGTCCTACCGTTTCGTATACCTGCGCGAATCTGTTTGTGTTTCCTTTTTTTTTTTATTTCATTATGTATACTCGCGAGACCCGCGCGAGTGCCACTTCGCGACGGCCATGCGATAATTGAAAGAACAGTCGAGAGAGCACCCGTTTTACTGTTCCTGAGGATTCATAGCGAAAAAAGTGAAGAACAAAGTACTGTGTACTCGACGCAAACTATAAAACGATGCTACTTCAACATATTTTGAAAGTTGGATGTAAAAGAATGTTTTCACGTCATTTAATTCAATTCTCCTCAAACAGAATTACCGATCTTTTGTTACAGTATTATTTTTCACGTGAGAGATTCACGGGCCGTCTACAATGAGAGTAATATTGTGTAGTAAACTGTAAGCTGTAAAAAGTTGACCAATCAAAGTCGATCATTCTTCTCACATTCGACGGTGATTGGTCGATTTTTTATGATATACGACTTACTATACTTTCACGGGAAACACAATGGATATGGTAAGCTTTAAGCTGTAAGATATTGGCCAATCACAGTCAAATATGAGGAGAATAATCGATTATGA